CACCCACACTCACCCACACCCACACCCACACCCACAGACCCACACTCACCCACACCCACACCCACACCCACACCCACACCCACCCACACCCACATCCATACCCCCACCCACACTCACCCACACCCACAGACCCACACCCACAGACCCACACTCACACCCACACCCACACCCCACCCACACCCACACCCACACCTTCTGAATATTTCTTCTAGTATGTGGGTTGTTATGATGTATGTTAGATTGGCTTCTTTTTCTAATGACTTTTATTTTTACGGCGATTCGTGTTTATTTTTAATATTCTCTCTAGTGGAGTAAATATGCAAAAGAATTGCTTTCTTATTTTTTTTCGAAAAAAAGGTATCCAAAAAAAAGGAAAAAACCCATTGTCTGTTGTACATGTTTTATATACAAGTTATTTAATCTGCTTTCTCTACTTTTTCCTTGCAAGGTAAGAGTTTTGATGTATGTTCTAGCAATAGAAAAATACAACAAATCAAAATAAAATAAATATCGATTTCGTTCTAAAGTCTACTAACTAGGTGAAGGAATCCCTTTTTAAACTGGCAATAAGATCTAATAAATAAAGACATGCAATAGATTATTTGTTTTCTACCGCATTAGATCGAAGCCTTGTAGAAAAGTAAATTCGCGTAGATTTGCTGTTTCTCAAATTGAATCACCGCATTTTTCTCAGTCGACAGGTATCAATGTAAAATATTTATTTGCACGAACAACCTTGACGAATACTGTACAAAATTATAGCTTTCGAGTGAAATATAAAAATCAGTCATCTTCTGGTTCAAAAGAGACGTTTCTAAGTGTTTCTCTTTCAATATTCTAATTTTCTCCAATTTTTAATTATATTTGTATCGCGCAACCTAACGCTATCCTTGATAGGGTGTGGATGTGAGTGAGAAAAGACCCGCACTCCACACCCACACCCACACCCACGCCCACGCCCACGCCCACGCCCACATCTACACACACACACCCCCACACCCACGCCCACACCCACACCC